GCAAATGAGCAAAGCAACGGCGTAAAATTGGAATGGCTTGCGAATCGATTCAATCAAATGCTCTTTCAACCAGTGATCAGAAACATCATCGAATGTTCCGCTGAACGACTTAGCCGGCTCTTTATCATTCAAGCAATGAACACAATAGAATATTGTGTATTCAAGATGTGGCCCTTGGTTAACATCACCTGTGAAAAAACCTGTTTGGAAAGCGTTAGTTCTAAAATGAAGCCATTAAAAATGAAATAGATAACAAACGGTCAATGTCTTACCACTTTTGTCTTTATTTGCAGCCGTTTCCATAGTCTTTCGTCTTTTCAAATCCTCAGTTCCATTATTCATCACGACCTCTGCCGTACGTTTACCTGAGCTTTCGCCATTTCCCATCGAATTACTGCTTTCTTCTGTTCCCAATTGTGAAACCGTTGTATTTTTTGCAGTTCCTAATGTTGAGGTTGTCGGGGCGTTAGCACTCCATGACTTTTTGTATTTTGCCTCTTCACCATATCGTTGGCATGTGTGGTTCAAGCTGTATAATTTTTCAGATAAATAGAATATGAAATTATAGAAGAAATTGCATTTTTTTAAACTAATAAATTGAATAAAATTTACCGTTCAACCGACAGTTTTTTGAAATAGTTGAGAAATTTATTGTCTACTTTCAAACCAGATCTTTCGAGTCGTTCTAATGCAGCCTCGGTGTTCCGTTGAATCGACATCAAATGCTCATCAATTTGCGTCTTTACAAAATTTTGCTCCATTTTAGACTGAAACGAGTACCTAACATTTTTAATGGTATGTGATGTTGTCGAATAAAATGTCTATTTAGCACTAAGTTTTGCCAAATTTTCTACACTCGGTTGTGCAATGTAATAAATTTATAAACTAAAATATATTTCCGATTTCATAGCTCAGAGTATTAAAAAGCAAAATAGAATTAAAGCTAGTGTACGATACTTACCTTCAATGATTTACTCTTCGGAAAAAAATGAATTCAATTCTTATCAGAACTTCGGGGAATATTCACGTCTGTATCACGTTTTGTCATCAATGGAATCACCCTAATTGTGTGGTTATGTGACAGCATTCAATGTTCTAGAAAAATCGCCACAGCCCACTTGGTTCTATAAAAATACACATATATGTGCATTGCACATTGTGCAATAAAGCAGCTCCAGTTGTGCGCGATCCGTGTATGTTTATGTTGATTCAAAGTCATGGAAAAGTCAATGTTGGAATCGTACACATTTGGATGCTGCCAGTAGTACCACAACACGAAATAATATGTTAAAATCCGACTCAATTCGACTCAATGCAAAAAATTCAATTATAAGATATAATTTAATGATTTCTATTTCATTGAACAATGGTAGTAATACACTTAAACATTGACTTATTTCATTAACATTTTGTTTTCATTAAAATTAATTTGTTTTAAATTCCTTCTTATAACATAAAAATCTCTGTGAAACTATGGAGTTTTGGATGTTTCCAATCACAAAATGGGAACATTTTCCTTCAGTTTTCATGATTCTGTTCCACGTTTTGTGTTCTTTTGTTTTATTTTCATGTATTTTCTGTTTATATTTTGTATATTATTTCAATTGGTGTCTATTTTGTATTACTAAAGGCACAGAGACTGTGAATGATTGTGTAATGTCAATTGAAATTAAAAACATTAAAGATTGCTCTATTCAATCTCAATGTATAATGTAGTTCAATTGGCTGAATAGTATGTGTAGTATGAGCACTTTAAACTATGCGAATCTTCATTCAAATGGCGCAAAATTTGTCACAATCGATTTCTTCTGGCAAAATTTTTTGATGGAAATCAATGGACAATAATAATAATTCATTGATTTGCGTTACCAAATAAATAATCGAATTTTAGTTTCGAGATTGATATCTCATCAATTTGATTTCATCATGTTAATTTGGTCAAAAATAGCGTCCTGACTGTGGCTTACATTTTAAACATTTTACAGCAATTCTCAACATATTCAATTGGTTTTCAATTTTTTTCTCCACATTTTCATTGGAAATAATTAATTTCATGTTGGATTAAAATGTGTGAAAAATATTTTGAACAAGATGAAGTCATCGATCGATTTCATCAACTAGGGTGACATTTTGAAGGTTAATTTTCTACTATAATGCTGAGAATTGTAATTATTTTCTAAAATTTATACTAATACTTATTAAAGTATTGAAAAAATTAATATTCCGTATTTCATCGAATTGAATTATCTTATGGATTATTATGCATTCCATGCGTGTTGATCAATCGCTTTGCTTGTTTTTTCTTTCCATCCAGATAGCTACGAATAAACATATCCAACCGATCGCTATTATCAAACTTTGTTTCAAGCAAATTGTATGCTTTGAGTACCAATCCATTTGCATATACCACATTTGTGCCGAGAAGTTTTTTCTTCATCCAAACTGGGAATGTCATGCAATGATAGCTCAAGGAGTCAAAGTCGTGGACGATTTTCTCGTGGAATGCAATTTCCGATAGATCGCCTGATTGATACGGGCACACAGTGCAACGGAAATTGAAGGTGTGCTCCGAAAGATGGTCTATATATCGGGTGGCATCGACCATATCGTGGCAATTGTCACAAATGAAATGATATGGTGTGGTGTGATTGTCATCGATTTCTTTCAATTCAACTGCTTCGCCATTGTGTAAATCCAAAGAGTGCTGAGCAATTGCATTTGGTGTTCTGATTATTTCGTTACACTTGCCGCATGCATAGATTTTGGTCACATTGATTGACAACAGTTTGGCAATTCTTTCTTCCGAATAGTAGATCGGGTTGAAGAGCTTTGGTGTTGAGTTCAGATCATGCTTTTGTTTGAAATGTTCGACCAAATCACCATCTTTGAAGTGACACATTCCACATTTCTTTGCGTTCATTCCATCTGTGATGACGAACAGGGCATCGGCATGCTTTTCTTGGTGATGCTTCACCAAATCGTGGTATGGCCTGATCTCTTTGCAATAGAAGCAACTAAGCAAAGCAACGGCGTAGAACTGGAATGACTTCGAGTCTCCAAATCCATCCAAATGTGTAAACCAGTGTGTGTACACATCATCAAATTCATTGAACGAATCAATCGGGGTTTCCTCGTTCAAACAATGTGCACAATAAAATATTGTGTATTTAAGATGTTGGCTCTGGTCAACAACACCTGTAAATAGAACCAGTTTCGAAAGTGTTAGTTCTTGAATTAGGACATCAAAAAGATAACAAACAGTGCCTCACCACTTTCATCGTTATCCATCGATGTTTTCATTGTTTTTTGCCTTTTCAACAGCTCACTTCCGACATTTACCACAACCTCTGACTGACGTTTTACTGAGCCGTCGCCATTTCCCATCGAATCACTGCTTTTTTCTGTTCCTAAAAGTGAAATCGTTGTGTTTACTACGCTCAAAGTTGAAGTACTCGAAGTCGATACGGTCCATGAATTTTTATATTTTGCCTCTTCACCATATCGTTTGCATGTATGTGTCAACCTACATCATTTTTTCCAGATAATTGGAATGTGAATTGTTGAAATGGAATATGAAATTATAAAAAAACATGAATTTTTTAAACTACGAAATTGAATGAAACTTACCGATCAATAGACAGCTTTGAGAAATAGTTTAGAAATTTCTTATCCACTTTCAAACCAGATCTTTCAAGGCGTTCCAATGCATCCTCAGTGATCCGCTGGATTGTCATCAAATGCTCATCAATTTGTGTTTTTACCAAATTTTGCTCCATTTTACACTGAAACGAGTTACAATTTAATGGTTTGTAGAAAACAATGTCTAGTCAGCACTTAGTTTTGCAACGTTTTCTACACTCGGTTGGGCAATTGAGGTTATGTTTAGAATGTGTTCAAATCATATTGATGTAATTAATTTAGAAACTAAAATATATTCCTAATTTCATAGCTCAGAGTCTTAACGAGCAAAATAGAATTAAAACTACGATACCTACCTTCAATGATTATTCTTCAAAGAAGGCCAATTCAATGCTTACAAGAGTCTTAGAGAATTATCACTTCTGTACCACGTTTTATCATCAATGAAATTTAGCTCAATTGTGTGGTTATGTGACAGCGTTTGATGTTCTAGAAAAAATCGCCACAGCCCACTTGGTTTGATACAAATACACATATTGCATATATGTGTGCATGCATAAAGGAGCTCTAGTTGTGCGCGATCTGTATGCACTTGTGCTGATTCAAAGACATGGAAATGTTAGTGTTGGAGTCGTACACACTTGGGTGCTGGCAGTAGTACCACAACACGAGATTATATATTAAAATTCCTCGATTCAATGCAAACAAATTCCATTCTTAAGATAATATAACAATTTAATGATTTTTATTTCATACATGAATTGAACAATGGTAGTAATACCTTAATGGAAATGTGAATACACTTCAACGTTGGCTTATTCATTGACAATTTTGGGTTCAGAATTGAACTGTTTTTAATTCATACTTATGACCTATGACACTTAAAGCTATGCGAAAAATGTAGTTTTTGCTTCTCCCAATGACAAAATAGGAGCATTTTCTATCCATGGCTATGATTCTATTCTACTTATTTTAGTCATCCTTATGTATTTTTTCTGTTTCTTCTTCATATATTATTTCAATGGCTGACGTTTTTGTATTAATAAAGGCACATAGACTATGAATCAATGACATTGATTCAATGTATAAAGTCAATTGACATAAAAATCCTTAATATTTGCGCTATTCAATTTCAATGTACACTTGCATTGGTTTCGGTGTTCGGCTGGAAATCTCACTTATCTCACGCGATTCAATACTTTTTTCCACTTCGTCTCGTTTTTTATTCAAAAAATCTTTAATGAATTCATCAAACTGTTTACTTGTATCGAGATTTG